TTTTTTCTAAAACTTTGTCGTTGCTCACATTTTCAGGCCATCGTATTCGCAGCATTCTTCTGTGGAACTATATTTCTAAAGCCTCAAGTTTCGTCTTTATTTGCGATTATATCGCCCAGCATTCACTGTCATACATGAGTACCGATATTGCATAACAGTCCAGTGCTGTTTACTTTGTTTCCAATGAAATCTTTCGCTATCTGATCATTCGATGGAGTTCGCATTCGTTTGCCCTTGAATTCTCCAGCAGCGATATGAAAATGAATCTACTTAGATCTTCCGGTATTACACTATTGTCATGAAATTTATTTATTATATTAGTAATTTTTTCAGTGCTGAAATCATATAAAGCTACCTACATTTCCATAACAATTCTATCTGATTTTCTTTATCTATTCTTGCTTCATTTGTTAAGTGTTGATTTCACTTCAGATTTTAATATTTCTGATCCTTCGATATTTCTGTGGGTTTTTTTTTTGGGGGGGTTAAGCCTTTTACCCCAAGCAAGTCGGGTAGCCACTACCACGCAAGGGGTTACAGAGAGTTGGAGCAAGAGCAATTATGAGTGATAGAGGAAAGGATGAAGAGAAGGATAGGGGATAGATCAGGGCATCTCGAGACGTCGATTGACATTACATTTGAATATTTGGCGATTATAGCTATCAGGGAAACAGGAAGAGAGGAGGGGAGTTCCACAGGCGAGAGTTGCGAGACATGAAGCTATTGGAGAAGAAGACGGCTACATTTAACAAATTCAACAGTGAGAGGGTGTGAGCGAGATGCCAGCCTAGTAGAACTCTTAAATTCATGAAGTCTGGGAACCAGCGAAAGCAGCACCTCGGAGCAGTTACCATGAAAGGTTTTGTAAAAAAGACAGACGGCACCTGACGGCATCTGACATTCACAATGCAATCCGCTACGAACTAGGTTTTATACTGCTGATAAAACAATTTAATCATACCTTAATAGTAAGCACGATAGGACGGACAAAGAAAAATTGACAGCGGCTCTCGAATGTGACAACAGAGCAGTTGTTAACAGCGGCAAGAAATGAGTAAGTAATTTTAACGCCACTAAAACGAGACTATCATCTTTTAATCACCATATTTGTAAAAAAAAGACAGAGGGCGGCTACGGCACGTCTGTGAGAGAATGACTGTAGACGAGATGCCAGATCAAGGCCAATTACGTTGCATATCTGTCTCTGGATTTTATCAAGAACCTTGAGACAAACATAAGGGGTACCAGACCATATATGGCAGTAATACTCCATGTAAGGGCGAATGGTTGATTTTGTAGATTTGAAGGATCGACTCCGGCGTGAAAAAATTTCCTTGCGCGGCACAGGGAGCCAACTTTCCTTATGGTGGACGAAGCTATTGACTCAATGTATTAGTTCCATCTCAGGTCAACAGTCAATGTGAGGCCGAGTAGTTGCAAAGTATTGCAGGTTTCTCTATATCGTCGTGGAAATGTTCTCCGATATATTCGTTCCATCAATGAAGTATTTTACTTTCTTTATTATCAGAGTTCTATCATTCTATTCCTGAGATTTATTTTGAAGTTCTTTTTTTCTTGTATGCTTAACGGTTTCATCTGTAATACCCATGTTTCTTTTTAATTAATCACCCTATTTTTTGGTCAATTAAAATTTTAGCCTAGCGGCATTTTACCTAATTTCTTTGTACAATTTCCTTTAGTCCGTGCCATTTCTAGCCATTGTTTACTGTCTCCTATTTATCATGTCAGGAATTTCCTCTGTTATTCCTTTTTTTTTCATGTCATTTTCTTTGGGATGATCTCGTTTGCTGTTACTCCTAAATCTTCTTTATTGTGCCCAGCTTAGAATTTCAGTTCTCATTTAGTTCATCATATCTACTTTTAACCCTGTCTGTAAAATTCTCTTTAATACGACACCAGACTGATCCGAATGTAAATTTTACCCATCTATTTACATATATAGATGTTTCTCATGACTTACTAAATAAGCATATAAACAGGCTTTCATATCTATATAAAAAGCATGGGACCTTAAAATATGCAAATTATTGCCTACAATATCAAGTCCAGGATCCCCGCTCATTTCCTGACTCCTGAAATGGCCATGAACACGCAAAGAGAATAAAATTAAGCGCCATATTACATGTTATTCGCTTTAATCACGACGAAGCGTGTCGATCGGATTTTTAAATCCACGCCTTGTGGTTAAAATGAGGAGATTAGTGGAGCGAACGAATGACTTGAGTGAGTCAGAGAAACACTGTTATTTATGATTTCATCTTTCGACCTCTAGTTACGCTCTGGACATAGACAGTGGACTTGTACGACCTTAAACAGACAGAAGAATTTAGTTGATTCGTCGTTTTGAAAGAATAATTTCTCTCCACACAAAAGAAAATCAACAAAATATCTGGTAAGTAACTTCCTTTGTTTGTTCTTTTATTATACGTAGAATTTATTCTTACCTGTCTACATTACATAGTTGTTATAAATTGTCTATAAAGGTTCTCAAACTGACAAGAGAATGGTTTCAGCTCTCTTTATATTAATATATGAATAAAATAAAAGGTATATATATATATATATATATATATATATATATATATATATATATATATATATATATATATATATATGAAGAATTATAGTTTTAAGACGTGCTATATTTATGGGATAAAATGCTCAATATCAGAGACAGAGCGTATGTAAATATAAATGATGACAATTGCGTCTAGCATGGAACAGCCTGTCGCCTTTGAGTGTTGGCTTCAATGTCCATTTATATATATATATATATATATATATATATATATATATATATATATATGTTCACTTTCATATATATATATATATATATATATATTGATATATATATATTATATATATATATATATATATATATATATATATATATATATATATATATATATATATATGATTTTGTGTTTGTGTGCATTCTGTCGTATGGATATGAGTTTGTAACCCTGTGTTTCACGCTTTGGCGATGATCAGACATGAAAACTAGGGTTACAAAAAACATATCCACACGACTGACTATGTTAGCTCTATCACTGATATTGAGCTTTCCAATAAGTACCACGCATATATATACATACATATATATATATATATATATATATATATATATATATATATATATATATATATATATGGATTAGTATTTCTTTGCCTCTTGTATTATCGCTCTGCACGAAGTTAGGGACTTCGACGTGGTGTTATGTTTAGTAAGCAGGTCCCGCCGGATCTATTTCGGTTGTAGTGACTTCGATCGTCACTGGGTCTTCCCACACATTTGGTCTTAAGCCACAACTAAACTACGCTTAGTAAATCGCTCTGCTTGAGGGGAAAGGATTTTTTTAAAAATGTAACTACTTCTCTAAAAGCTGAAAAGAAACATTCATTTTATCTACATTTTTTCCCTGACAATTTAGTGCTGAACATAAATCTCATGAAATGAAAATTTTTCATTGAATCTTGCAGATCTACTTTCAGTATATCATTACCATGCGTCCACATTGATTAAAATGAGAGAATATTCATAAATTATTTCTTTTTTTAATTTTCACACAGCTTTAGAAAACTGTAATTTAGAATTATTTAATAATTATTATTTAATAATCATTTAATAATATCAAAAGCCTATTTAAAACTGTTTAAATAAATTGACGAAAAGCATCATTATTTAAATTAATTAAAATTTATTAAATGATTATTTGAAAATTTCGAATTACCATTTTAAGAAAGTATTATATACTTATCATAGTAGTATCAAAATGTTATGATAATATCAGTGAAATGTTAGAATAAAAAGTATCATATAAGTTATTTATGAACTAAAGTCCAACGAATACATAGGTAGAAAACCACTCATATTAGAAGGTTACTGTCAAAATGGTTTTTATGCCTGTGGTATAATAAACATATCAGATAATTATCATAAAACGTTTCTTATTGTCAAAAATTGGGTACAAATTTTTGGGGGTACACACACTCACACACGTATATCATGGAGTAGGCAAACCACTGCTTAGTGGTGGACTCCCATTATCAATAGTGTTCAACGTATTTATAGGGATTGGGACATACTCATTATTGTTCATAGGTACGGAATATAACAATATGTATATATATATATATATATATATATATATATATATATATATATATATATATATATATATATATAGTTATACTCGTTTGGAAAAACCTTATGTATTTTGGCTTGTAATTGAACAAACCAATGCCCAAGGGAAAATATGGGATAAGAAAAAAGAAAGAACTAAGAACGTGAAATTGAGGCGAATACAATCGTCCAGAATTCAAGCTCAAAGCCCGAAGAAAAAACTCCAAAACGAGTAAAGCAAAAGTAACTTTATATACTTCAAGTCAGGATCAAAACCCAACCGACCAGTAGGAGTTTTTACCACTGAGCTATCTTCATTCGACATAGAGAAACAACTAAATCTAGCATATTGTTTTTACGAATGTAAACAAATGCCAATCAGCCGTAGTGCTCCAATTTATTTTACTGAAGAGCTTTGCAATAACGCAGGTGGCTGTTGTTTATAGTGCTCAATTGAAATATATTTTCAAGAGCTTTCGTACCAAATGATGAAAAGACTTTTCACATAATATGCATTTTAACTTGACAATTAACTTAATTCAATGAATCAATTCATCGAAGATTTTTTTTATCAAAATTCGGTTAATTGATTCGTTTTCGGCAACCTATCAGCACTTTACAGGTTATTTAAAGCCAGAAAATATTTTTATGTTCTAAGAATTTTTTTAATATAATAGTAATTTACTGATACAGGTCTTACTAATTAACGCATAGTTGTGAAGGGAAGAAATGGGTTCATGCCTTCCCCAAGAGTATTTGCGCGTAAGTGAATATAAAGCACCCATCTACAATTGGAACTCGGCTGACCGAGTAACAATTTCTAGCCATTATAGCTTACATCACCCGCACATAAATGCTTACAGCACCTGATATTCCCATGCAGTCACCCATCTATCAACTGACAAGGCTCGACATTGCTTAACGTTAGTGACCGTACGGGAACTGGCGTTTCCACGCTATATGGCAGTAAGACCAAGAATCAGCTCAAAGTATGTCTCAGGCTACAAAATTTTTTTTTTTTTTATCTTTGAATATTAAAAGAATACCGAATGAAAACAAGGTATAGATTATTATATTTATTCTTTAATATCTTAAAAAACAAACTTTATTTAAAGAAAGAACCATTGAAATGAAGATTTCCACTGCTCCAATCTCCCAATTTTCTTCATTGTTTCTACTCTCTCGTCCGTTAGGAAAGTCTATATCTCCTTCGCTTAAGGATATTTTTTAAACGGTATCATCCTTAAGCAAGGTAATAAAGTCACTAAGCCACATAGGGGATACAGTATGTGGAAGAATTAGGAACAGAAACAATAATAATGAGTAGGAAGAGGAAAGAGTAATCAGGAGGACAGTAGATAGCGATTGACATTGCATTTAATTTTTTTCAGATTAAAGTTAGCTGACCACAAGCTGTTTAATAGCCATGATACAGCAGTCGTTCCCAAACATTCTATCTCGGGACCGCATTTTCAAAACGAATATTTGCTCAAAAGATACATTTAAAAATAAAAAAAAATTAGAGTGAGAATTTAAGGAAGATAACTCTCTCCTCCAAATTGCGGACCCTAGTTACTATATACTTAATACTTGATATAATACAAAAATATCACAATGATAAAATCGGACAGTAATTAATTGTAACTATTTATACTGGGACTCATGCATGCAGTTACAAGTCATCCATAATAATATCTTAAATTTTGAAATCATGTTTATTTTTGGCATATAAAATTTTAACTGTTTCTAAATCTTTGATTGTCTTTCAATCATTCCGCCTCACCTGCTATCCTCCTCCATCGCATCTCTGAAGCGCGCCGCACAGTTTGGGGACCACTGCGCTACAACCGTAATAGACTTCAAAATGGTTTACTAAGCCTTATAGGAGAAAACCTATGCTCCCCTCCTCGGCCTCATTTCCGTAGACCCAACATATCGCTACCTTATCGCTATTTCCATGGCAAATCTTCATATGAGCGCTCCATTTATTTGTTTCGCCATTTCAGACCTTTAGAGCTATGACACGCCATTTATTTCAACAAAGCTTATTTCTACTATATTGTTAAAGCATAAAGTTCCACTCAAACAGCTTTTTCCCAAGAACTGCCAGTCTGTAGAAAATACCCCCGATCCTGTCTAAAATACTTCCCTAGACACTACATTCTTCAAATACGTCTTCAAAGCCAGAGTTAATTGTCATCTCTCCTCTTGATCCTCATTATATTCATTTATACCACACTCTCATTCATATAACGTGTATCATTCATTATTACGATCTTAACACTTCCTACCTTGAGTTGGTCTTGAGCCTAGGATGTGAGGAATTACTGCATTTAAAACTTTAGTCGTGAATATGAACTTCATGAATCAAAGAATAAGCGGTGAAAATTTCAGGACAAGTTCATGTGAGGCTACGGAGTTATTGATCGAAAAAAGAACGAATCTTGTTTGTACACAGTCATATTGAGACCAACCCATAAGTTATTATTAACATATTCTCATGATTAGGTAGCTTTACCATATTTATTAATATTATTAATATTATATATTAGTCAGTTGTCGGTGTTTATCAGGAACAGAAGATATTTCTTGTTTTATAGATATTTTATGGACGGGTCTGTTTTTTTTTTTTTTTTTATTCCTTACAACGGTTTTAAATTTGTCTCAGGCCATAGTATCGGGAATAGAACTCAGCTTCTTCTCCTATACGCACACAGGTATATATATATATATATATATATATATATATATATATATATATATATATATATATATATATATATATATATATATATATATATATTGCATTACTCTTCAAGTACGAATTGAGTTCTCTTAGCCAATGGCTAACTTCGTATAGAGAATGCAAAATTTTCGTTTCTCTTTGCGGTGCGCCGACAGCTTAGGAAAAGGATCTCTGACTGATGCCAATTCAGTCGGGTTAGTTTCGATCCCAGCTTGAAGCAATTGCATGTCTGGCCACACTGAACAGCTGTTGATATAGTGAAAAAGTCTGTCTGTGAATCTCTCTCTCTCTCTCCCTCTTTCTCTCTCTCTCTCTCTCTCTCTCGCACACACACACACACATATATATATATATATAAACATTATATCGTTTTGTATATTTATTAGTTGTATAATTTAGTATATTCTGTATAATTCTGTATATTTATTATTAGTATAATTTTATGTTTGCATAAAACTAGTTATATTAACTTATTACTAGCATTCATTGTGCGCTACTTTATATATATATATATATATGTGTGTGTGTGTGTGTGTGTACGTGTGTGTGCGTGCGTTTTTGTATGCTCGTTTGTGTAAAACTTAAGATATTGCTAAGAAAATGTCTTTAA